CGTCCTACTTTTCTCATATGTCTAAACTATCTCCTTTATTACTCTCTCTCAGTCCTTCTCATCCTATCTGCCCCTTTCAACACAGCACCCTTAAAACCCTTCCTCCCTTCAAGTTCAAGTATGTTTATTGAGATAAGCAATAAATACATCTCAATGGGGTAGAGTAGCTTAGGCTATTTCTACCCCCCTCTTCCTCCCTACTCCCTTCTCAATATTACCTTCCCTCAAGGTAAGGCAAGATAATTAATTATCGGGAGAAATGGTTAAGCCAGCATGATTATTATATAGTACTTGAAAAGGGAGAATGAGAAGAGGATAGAAGCTAGGATAGGACAAGGAACTGGGATACGAGGGAGGAGCGTGAAGGATCGATGCCCAATCACTTGGGCCATCGGGCTCGATCACCAGCCACGCCAGAAGCGAGGCCGTCTCTGTGTACCAACCAGTCCAAGTTTATAAATCAAGATATTTTCCATTTTTTTAATATTCTGCTCTAACAACCACTCGGTCCATTCCGACGCATTTTTATCCACTACTCCCATTCCTTCCCCTCCCTTCCTGCAGCTGCTTTCCCCTCCATCCCCCCTTCCCTCCATCCCCCCCCCTTCCCTCCATTCCCTCCCTCCCCCCCCCTTCCCTCCATCCCCCCCCCCCCTTCCCTCCATCCCCCCCTTCCCTCCATCCCCCCCTTCCCTCCCCCCCCCTTCCCTCCATCCCCCCCCTCCCTCCCCCCCCTTCCCTCCCTCCCCCCCCCCCTTCCCTCCATCCCTCCATCCCCCCCTTCCCTCCATCCCCCCTCTTCCTCCCTATTTTTCCTTCTCATTTACTCTTTAATAAACGATATCATCTGAACTTTGTTTGGCATTTACCGATCAAAATTTCCATTTATAGAATGATTTCTTACCGACTGGAAATAAAATATCACCACAAGGAAACCAATAACAGTCTCCCACACAGCCGATTTTCCTATACAAAATACAAAATAATTATGTTTAATTATCGCTGATAAATCGACATATCCACGAACAAAAATCCTCCCACGTGGCAGTGTCAATAACCCTGGAGTTAAAAACAAAAAAATTGCTAGAATTTCCTCCAATACACATTTTTTTTTTAATCTCTCTCTTTGGGAATTATAGCTCGGTTTTTATCCCAGTACAGACAGGAACGTGATCCGGTTAACTGAGTTTGGTGGTGCGTTGTGTCCGGGTGATATTATTGTGGATTGTAGGGCGGGGGAGTTTTACAACCAGGTGGGAGGGAGAGGGGGGGATGAGGAGGGAGCATAGAGGGAGAGAGAGGAGAGGGGAGCATAGAGGGAGAGAGAGGAGGGTAGCATAGAGGGAGGGATGAGGTATGTAAGCATGAGAGAGTAAGAGGAAGGGATGCATAAAAGATGACTGGAAAAATTTGTGTTAAGGAGAAAGGTAGAGGATGAGAGAGAGAGAGAGAGAGAGAGAGAGAGAGAGAGAGAGAGAGAGAGAGAGAGAGAGAGAGAGAGAGAGAGAGAGAGAGAGAGAGAGAGAGAGAGAGAGAGAGAGAGAGAAACAGAGGAGTGCACCAGATTCTCTGTATCGACTCCCTGTCACCCTGGCCACGCCCAGGGATAAGACAGGCATCGACACGCACCACAACTTGCCGTGCGCACCTCGCCCGTGTCCCAGGTCGTGTCCCAGGTCGTGGAGGAGGAAAGCGGTCAGCAAGAGGGTGTTGATTGAAGAAAAGTTGTACAAGTATGGCATAAAGTATGAGTTGTGATAGCAGGCGGGCTGTCCGGCTGCTATCATAACTTTCAAGCAGGGTTCCACAAACTCTTAAACTCAGCAGCCTCTTCATGGGGCTTCAGACTCAATAATAATAGTAATAATAATAATATGAATAAAAGCCATTGTAGGGATTAGAACCTGCACACTGGGGTACCCTCATGCATGCGCCCTAAACCACTCAGCCACGACATGCTAGAAGAAATGCACTATGGAATTCAACTGAATTATCTAGGTGGGAAAGGGCCTAAAAGGCTTCCACTGAAGCCAAATCAGGGTTTCAGGCATTGCCTCCATGCACTCATTTGAATTTGTTGTTGTTGTTGTTTAAGATTCCGTGCTACTTGGAACAAAAAGTTCCAAGTAGCTACTTGGAACAAAAAGTTCCAAGTAGCACGGGCTATGGTGAGCCTGTAGTAATTTTTTGTTTGAATCCCTGGTTGCATTGTCGAGTATTCCTTGTGTGCCGGTTCGAATCCCCGTCATAGACTTCTACTGATATTCTCATTATTTTTAGTGTTAATATTCTTATTTATTATTATTATCCTTTGTGGTATTATTTGTTAATCAATTATTTATTAAATTAATTTAATTAGATTAATTAAGTTCACATAATTGACTGTTTTTTTTTATATATGAGGCGCCTCATGATTAAGCACATGTTAGGGTTATAGGGAGCCTATAAGGTCCCTGCCGTAGGCCTATATAGGCCTCTACGAGGCTGTTTCTACTTATATCCACCAAAACCCATTCACGTATATGTTTAGCCTACGCTTGAAACAATCCAGCGATCTTATTATCTTACCTGGGAAATTGGTTCCACAAATTTACAAAATGTACATAATTTGGCCAAGTTTTTTCTGACTGTAAACTCCAATTTTTATTGAACAAGTTTACATTCATTGAAAGAGGTATACCAACACCCATTGTTGGGTGTTGGTATACTTCTTTCATCCCCAACAGGGAGCCGGTCGGCCGAGCGGACAGCACGCTGGACTTGCGATCTTGTGGTCCTGGGTTCGATCCCAGGCGCCGGCGAGAAACATTGGGCAGAGTTTCTTTCACCCTATGCCCCCTGTTACCTAGCAGTAAAATAGGTACCTGGGGTGTTAGTCAGCTGTCACGGGCTGCTTCCTGGGGGTGGAGGCCTCGTCGAGGACCGGGCCGCGGGGACACTAAAAAGCCCCGAAATCATCTCAAGATAACCTCAAGATAACCTTCCCGTGTTGAGTCATGTCCCTTCTTGACTCTAGCTTCCTCTCCCACCTCCCCTCCCTTCCTTTCCCTCAACACGCCACCACCTGTTGAATACACTCAAGACTAATTACTCTTCCCTCTCCCACAATCACCCGTCCCCCCCCCCATCCCTCACCCCCTCCCATGTGGCCAGTCCCTCTCCCCCACTCTGCTCTACTTCTCTTCTCACCCCATTTCCCACCCCACTCTATCCGGCTTCTTTTCCTCTACAGTCTAAATAGAGCCCTCCAACTCTTGTCTTCCTCTCATGGTGCCCGACCTCCATGCCCCCCCCCCGTCCCTCACACCCCCCCTCACACTGCACGACCCCAACCCCCCTCCCCCACACACGCTGCCCCACCTCTACCCTCCCCCACACACGCTAGCCGATCAGGTGTACACTGAATTTTAGTTCACCTATTTTCTGAACTATGTTTCCGTATACTAAGATATACTAAGGTGTAAAAGGTATACTAAGGTATACTGGCGGGCTGGTCAGTCAGCCATTATGATGGTGGTTTGGCGGCTGGATTAACGAGTTTGACCTTTGTATGCGAGGACGGGCTGTTTCTGCAACCCGTCCTCGACTCAAGTCCATTACATCCAGCGGTCGACCCCACAGACGCATTCATAAATTTTAACATGCTGTTCATTCAAAACGGGAATTTTCTCAAGTATAAATGAATATTATAATATATTAGCATATTGTGCATATATAGGCATAGGTTAGGTTAGGTTAGGTGTTTAGGTTCTGTTGGCGATTACTTGTATTTGTAGTACGTGGGTGAAGCATTTATAGCGTTGTGATTCGAACAAAATTCGTCAGTGAAACACTTGTTCCGGATATGTTCGAACGTCAGCAGTTGTGAGTCGTGTGTAAACCGCTTTTCATTCATAAACAGGGGGTTTGGCGGGTGCATGGAATCACTTTTGGATCTTTGTTTGGAGGACGGGCTGGTTTACACCGTTGTGGTTCGAACAGAAGTCGTCAGCGAAGCACCATTCGAAAAAATGTTCGAATGTCATCAGTTGTGAGTCGCAAGTAAACTGATTTTCATCCATAAACCTGGGGTTTGGTGAGTGAATTAACGAACATTTGGTCTTTGTTGATGAGGACGGGCTGGCCTGCGGGCGCTCTGGCGTTGATGATGTACTTCAGACCCCGGTAGTACAGTCGGGTTGGTTCTCGACTCACAATCAAGAATTCCGGGTTCGAAGCCCAGGCGTGTTAGGCAGTTGGAAATGGCTGGGTGTGTTTCCTATCACCTAATGCCCATGTCCACCTACCAGTAAATAAATACCACCAGTAAATAAATATGTATACATACATATATGTATACATATATGTATGTATACATATATATAGACTAAATGACTTAACCTCGGGAAGGGTATTAATGCCTTGACACTATCCAACAAGCAATTATACTTTAGTTCAGGCCTAAATAACCATTCAATGTATATTCACTAAGAATTAGACCTCTCCTATTAGAATATGACTACACCTCTCAGTGTGTATATATATATACTCTTTCTCACCCTCTTTATATTAATATATACAGTATATCAACACTTACTTTGAATGTCTGTGGTGTTCGTGCGTCCAGAGCCATTCCTGGAGCCTGTCTGGGACACATGCGTCGCGAGTGACCCTGCGCATGTGTGTTACGCACAGTGCATCTCTGGGTTCATCAGAGGAAGGTCTGTAAGCGTGCGGACGGCGTGTGTGTGCACTCACCTAGTTGTGTTCGCGGGGGTTGAGCTCTGGCGCTTTGGTCCCGCCTCTCAACCGTCAATCAACTGGTGTACAGATTCCTGAGCCTACTGGGCTCTATCATATCTACACTTGAAACTGTGTATGGAGTCAGCCTCCACCACATCACTGTGTGTGTGTGTGTGTGTGTGTGTGTGTGTGTGTGTGTGTGTGTGTGTGTGTGTGTGTGGGCGCGCGCGTGTGTACACATGTCAAAATAGAGGAACTGTCAATAAGAAAATATCAAATCAGTGCATCTTCTCCTTTATTGCCAAGATATCAATAATTATTCTGCATATATATTTTTACACACCGTATGGTATCATAAACATATGTATTTACACCTATTTACAACTATAAGATACATCTGGTCATGCTGTGAAGATACATACATATATTTTAATGACCTTCGCAATTGCAATATTTAGTTGACACATGAATACACACATAGCAGTTTGAGCTAATGCAAAGGGACACACGGCACGTCATGGTGCTACAGAAATTAATGAATTGGTCAACATAACTGAATTTTTCCAAGGTCAAATTCTTCCAGAACTTAAGAACCAAGATGGTAAGTTAAGAAAAAAAACTTCATGTGCTATGTCAAAATCACATGCAGATGGTGAGAGATTATTAAGAGTATTTAAGCGAGTATATGGCCAAGATGCAACCTCGCCAGAGCAGTTTCCCATCGCCGGAAATAGATTGCAATATAGTTAATCATGCAACCAGGTAGCTATACACTAATGACACATTAGCATAACTGTTTGATGTAATCAATTATATAATGCAATTAGGCCATTATACAACACGAATATAATCTCGCAATTCATTCCACATCAAGAGCTCTATAACATAGAGAAAACAACAGGTGTATATACAATATTAATAGTGTAACATTTGTTCTATATACAACCCACACACACGACCAATCAGCCCCGGCTGGGACTGGCTGATCACTATACAAGGATTGGGAATGACTAGAACCGTCAGAAAACGAGCGCTACAGCATGACCCGGAACATCGCAACTAAACACTTATTTATTTGTAGAAGGTAAAGCATAATATAGCCCCGTTATCAAGGCAAACAATACTGCCATAGTTTCCCCCTCAATAGGAAAACGAAGGATAAAAAATACTGTCTATTTAAGGTACAACTCGTAGAACTTGCAGAAGGTGAGGGCGTCTTGCTTCATGACAGAGCCAAGGAGGTGCATGGCGGTGAGAAGAGCAAGCTATAAGCATCTTAGTTCGTCGTCAAAAGAGAGAAAGAGAGAGAGAAAGAGACGCAGCCTATTCACAAAGTTTACTTTTCAATTTCCGTAATCCTTAACTACGTTGATGACAGAAAACGTGAAATTCATTCATTCATTCATTAGATTTGCCGATGATGCATTCATAAAATTCATTCATAGTATTTGAAGTCGAATTACTTGAATGGCAAAAATTTGCGTCGTGCAATTTAAAAAACTGTAAATCAAATTTACAGTTTTTACAAAAGATACCTTCATATTTTTTTGTGGCACATTCATTCCGAGCTGTAAATGTATACTGTATACAATAAGGTATATGTATAGCTGTATAGACATACTATGAACCACAAGGACTATGTATAACTGTATGATCCTACTGTGTACCACAAAATGTATAACTGTTTAGGCCTACTGTCTACCACATTGAATATGTATAAATGTATGATTATACTGTGAACCACAAAATGTATAAATGAATAGGCCTACTGTGGACTACAAGATGTATAACTGTATAGGCCTACGGTGCGCCACAAGATGAATGAATAACATGTGTAAAATCATACAGTATAGATTTTATATATTTCGTAAGGATATTGAGCACACCAGAGGCAACATCTGTGCCTCCTACTGTTGCACACCTGTATATCTGTTGCACATCAATACACCTGTTGCTCATGAGCACACCTGTTGCCCACCAACACACCTGTAAACCTGTTTCACATCAACACATCTGTAAATCTGTTGCATGTCTGCATACCTGTACAACTGTTGCAACACATCTGTACACCTGTTCAATGTCAGCACACCTATGACATCTGTTGCATATTAACACACCTGAACAAGTCGACTTCTGTTGCAAGTCGACACACACACACACCAGTACATCTGATGACCGTAAGCACATTTGTTGCACATCAACGCATCTGTACACCTGTTTCACGTCTAGGCACGTGTTGCACATCAACACACACACACACCTGTTGCTGAGATCACTACACACAAGGCTTGTGACTAGGGATGGCCGGCGATGCAGAGTGAAAGAGGATAGTAAACACAGCTGTTATGAATGAATTCCACATGATGAATGAACTTCATGAATATGAATGAATGATTTTCATGAATAAACATAAACACACGTGTTTCTCACCACCCATTTTCTAAGATTGATATAGTACTTATAGCAACTATTGGTAGAACGTAAAAAAAATGGACTGTTGGACTCTCTCCAAAAGAATGAAAGTAGATGTTTTAAGCTATTTAAAAATTCCGGAAATTCAGAGGTAAAATCCTTGGAATTGAAAGGAAATTTCAGGAAAATTCAGGAAATACCACAAATTGCTAAACAATGGAACGGTAATTATGCAATCAAATGTTAACATGTCCTAGGCTTAAATAAACAATCTTAGGCCTAATATACTAGGCCTAAGAAAGTTTAGGTTTGGCGGTTCTTTTTTTTCTCGTTCTCTCAACACAATTCACAGTTCAAAAGGCAGATTTTGTGTGGGGGCGCAACAGTACATATGTGTGTATGATTCTTCCACACCTGCAGCACAACAGTACATTTGTGTACGTTTCTCCCACACCTGCAGCGTAACAGTATATATCTGTATGTTTCTCCCACACCTGCAGCGTAACGGTACATATGTGTACGTTTCTCCCACACCTGCAGCACAACAGTACATATGTGTGCGTTTCTCCCACACCTGCAGCGTAACTGTACATATGTGTTTCTCCCACACCTGCAGCACAACAGTACATATGTGTGCGTTTCTCCCACACCTGCTATAATTACTATCATTTTTTAGAAGATAAACTGGCGCGACCAAACAAGCCAAACGAACAACCATCAAAATGTAAACAAATAATCCACAGTTTGTGAACGACAAGAAGATTCGTTCATACGTGAATTCTGAGACTTTTTTAAAAATAAGACTTAATTAATCTTTTTAAGACGTTCGTAAGACTTACAACCGCCGTACGCATTATTTTTTTTTTATTTGACATTCACAGACCCCCTACCTACGTACATTCTAAATATTATACGCACATAAGAAGAGAATATTGACTAGAAGCAATAGGAGCAAACGAGAATGCCAGCAATTGGACACCAAAAGATGACGTCAAACGAATGCACGAATCTTATTGGACGACGTAATCTTCGTCGCTTAGCAGGCTCATGAATGGGCGCTAACGATGACGTCATGTGAATGGAGAGAGAGGGATAGTGAATGACGTCACTATCGATGGTGAATCGAGAGTTATGTCGTAAGGGAGACGCGAGGGAAGCCTTAAACATATATGTCACATACACAACCCGGATATAAGAGATATACGCCACACGGACGCAGTTGGAAATACTGTGTATAATGCTTTTGTATATCTATATATACTACTGATGCTGTTGTGGCTATATTAGAGAAGTTGTAAAACACGAAGAGAAGACGATAATCACATTGTCTTCACAAAAGCTGATTAATGTCAAGGCGAGGTCGAGTTTTCTCAAACTGGAATGATGAACTGCGCAGGAAAAGATATGAATGGCAACTGAGGTTCCGTGACGCCACGATTTCTCTCGACGTCATTGGTTGGTTGGAGGTGGCTGTTGTCAACGTCATAGCTGTTGCGCAAGATGAGTGGCTGATATGAGGCGCGACACCAGGTGACGTCGTAGCTGTTGTGCGAGATGAGTGGCTGATATGAGAAGCATCACCTGTGACGTCATAGCTGTTGCGCGAGATGAGTGGCTGATATGAGGCGCGACACCACGTGACGTCGTAGCTGTTGCGCGAGATGAGTGGCTGATATGAGGCGCGACACCAGGTGACGTCACGGCTGTTGCGCGTTAATGGAGTGGCTAATATGAGCGGTGACGCCATAGCTTCCTCAAGAGCAGGCTGACGAAGGGAGGAGACGTCACAAGGCGGCCAGAAGCAGGAGAGAGGTCAGCAGAAGCGGCAGCAGCAGTCCGGAGGCTCTGGCACTGCTGGAGTGAGCCTCTCTGGAAACTGTCAGAGAAAACAACGATGCTTTAAATGAATGGAGAAAATATTATTATTTTGTTGTGGTCACTCACAAGGGTGTAAACACACCCATAAATTCATTGATATACAAGAGCGGGAAATATGACATAATGAGAGACATCCTATTAAAAATTATCTGAGGAAAAGGAAAAACCCGAAACTTGGGGACGCTCTGTGTTCAACATGGGACGGCTAAGGGAGCAAGAAGGTGGTGAAAAGGCACATGGAGAGTGCGTGCAGGGGAAACATGAGTGCTGCACAACTGTGGGAAGAGTGCCTGTGAGTGCAACATGCAGGACAGAGGGATTTATCAGGGGAAACCGCCAAGCCATTATAATTATACAACACAGGGAAGGAGTCAGGATAAGGCTTTGGGATGGGACGGGGGAAAAGGAATGGCGCCCAACCACTTGAACGGTCGGGAATTGAACGTCGACCTGCATGAAACGAGACCGTCGCTCAATCGCCCAGTCCAAGTGGTTGGGCAACCACGTGACGAAGATAAACCTAAAAAACACAAAGATGGACACACCGAGAATGACAGAGAAGTGTGCAAAGCCCTCCTGCTCATGCTTAGGAAGTTTAATAATAAGTTTAACATGAACAATCAGATAAAAGGCAGCACATTGCATCTGGATTTTATGATACCCTAGTTGTGGCACCATTGTGCTATGAGGAATTAGAGAAAATGTATCAGAGAAGATCATAAGAAACTGAATAAAATTATCCATACATCCTAAAGCACGCCATAGGAAAGTTGAAGAGACTACTCACACCGATTTAGAACGCCTCACTAGACAAAGGGGAGCTGCCAAAGCGATGAAAAACAGTCAACGTTGTTCCTACATTCAAGAAAAAGACGCGCGCTCGAGGGCTTTACCTGCTGAAGAATGTCTTTCGCGGTCTGTACACAATACTTGAAGGGATAATCAGAGGATAGTTTGGAATCGGCTTAGCAGGGGTGTTTCTATAAACTGAACAAAACACACACACACACACACACACACACACACACACACACACACACACACACACACACACACACACACACACACACACACACACACACACACACACACACATACACACGCAGAGTGGCCTCGCGGCTGAGGGAACAGCGCTTTTAGTAGTCCTAAGGGCCCGGGTTCGATCCCCGGCTGAGGCAGAAACAAATGGGCAGAGTTTCTTTCTGGTCTCCCTGTTCACCTATCAGTAAATAGGTACCTGGGAGCTAAACAGCTGCTACGGGCTGCTTCCTGGGGATGTGTGTGTGTATGTGTTTGTGTGTGATAGAGAGAAATATATGTAGTAGACATAATAAAGGAAAAATAAATTAGAAAGGCGGGGTCGCAGAACTAATAGCTCGATTTTGCAGTCACTACACATACACACTACCAACACCAACAACATACTCACTCTCATTACTCCAGGTTGGAGAGTCGGTAGTGGAGGTCCTCTTCATCCAGGGGTTCTTGGTGGTGGGGGGCCACCAGGGGGGGCGGGTGGTCACCTCCAGGTGTGGAGGAGGGGTCGAAGATCTCGCCTCGATCTCACTACAGGTGGCTACAGGGGGAGAGAGATGTGGGTGAGGGGGGCGTTAAGATCTTAAGAACATAAGAATAAAGGTAACTTCAGAAGGCCTATTGGCCCATACGAGGCAGCTCCTATTTCTATCCGCCCAATCACATTCATATATATATATATATATATATATATATATATATATATATATATATATATATATATATATATATATATATATATATATATATATATATGACAATGTCAGACCACGGAGGAAAAATGAAACAGGAAATTTCCTTAAGTACTTTCGTATATTAAATACATCTTCAGAAGGTCCTTCAGAAGGTTAGTTCAGTATTCAGAAGGTTAGTTCAAGTATTTAATATTACGAAAGTACTTAAGGAAATTTCCTGTTTCATTTTCCTCCGTGGTCTGACATTGTCACATTCTTAATCACGTGTTTATTTTCGTGATATACACACACATATATATATATATATATATATATATATTATATATATATATATATATATATATATATATATATATATATATATATATATATATACACACGAACAAGCCTGAATGGTCCCCAGGCATATATGCAACTGAAAACTCACATCCCAGAAGATATATATACATGTCTAACCTGCTCTTGAAACAATCAAACGTGGCTTAAAATGGATGATTATAACAACTATCCAAATAGTGATATATCCATAATTGGTAATAATTTAGGATTCAGGATAATCAATAATAATTCTGAGCATTACCTTACCGTCCCTGTTCTCTTTGTCCCTTAATTTTCATCCCTACCTTATTTATTCCATTCTTATCCCCTTTGTCTTTCCATTCTCTTTCTCTAAATCCTCTTTTCTTTTTCCATCTCTATATCTCAACCATTCTGTCATCTTTTCTTCCAGTTCCTCAACTCCTGTACACTATGAACGCTCTCTTCCCTTTCCACCTTTCCCCTCTATCACCCCTCTCTATTCCCTCCCCCCACATCATCTTCCCCTTACACTATATCCCTCCCCTACACAATATCTCCTCTTCCCCTCACCTTGTCTGACGAGTTTCATGCCGTCAGCGAGGGGTTGGAGTCCCCTCTTACAGCTGGTGCCGGCTTCGATGATGAAGATCTCGTTCGAGTTCACCACCACCCCGGCGAAGCACTCGTAGGTGTCGACGTCGCGTCGGTGGGTGAGGGTGTACATCACCCCGCCCTCTGACCATTGTCCCAGGCACCTGTACTCTCGCTCTGAGGGCACGCAAGGAGGAGGAGAAGGAAGGTTAGGTGATGTTTTAGACTTGGTGTGTGTGTGTGTGTGTGTGTGTGTGTGTGTGTGTGTGTGTGTGTGTGTGTGTGTGTGTGTGTGTGTGTGTGTGTACTCACCTAGTTGTGTCTGCAGGATCGAGCATTGACTCTTGGATCCCGCCTTTCGAGCATCGGTTGTTTACAGCAATGACTCCTGTCCCATTTCCCTATCATACCTGGTTTTAAAATTATGAATAGTATTTGCTTCCAGAACCTGTTCCTGAAGTGCATTCCATTTTTCAGTGTGTGTGTGTGTGTGTGTGTGTGTGTGTGTGTGTGTGTGTGTGTGTGTTGTGTGTGTGTGTGTGTGTGTGTGTGTGTGTTGTGTGTGTGTGTGTGCTCACCTAATTGTGCTTGCGAGGGTTGTTTACAGCCTTGGCTCTTTGGTCCCGCCTCTCAACCGTCAAACAAATGTATTTGTACAGAATTCAGTCATCCATTTTCTGTGATGTACATACAGGTGTGTGTGTGTGTGTGTGTGTACTCACCTAATTGTGCTTGCGGGGGTTGAGCTCTTTGGGCTCTTTGGTCACAGTCACATGTGTACAGGTGTGTGTGTGTGTGTGTGTGTGTGTGTGTGTGTGTGTGTGTGTGTGTGTGTGTGTGTGTGTGTGTGTGTGTGTGTGTGTGTGTGCGTGCGTACATATTCTAGATATGTGCGTATCAATAAGCAATTTGAGTATTTTATTCCCCGCCATCAGCTCGTAAATAAGTAAGATGACATTAACATTTATTTGGACAAAAACAAGATGACAGGAAACTATAATGTTCGTGTATTCTAGTTAGTCATGCGTTGGTTAGGCGTGCGTTGGTTAGGCGTGCATTAGTTAGGCGTGCATTAGTTAGGCGTGCGTTAGTTAGGCCATGCAATAGTCATGCAATAGTTAGTCATGGATTAGTTTCTACCACAACAATAACCAGTTTTACCATGACAAGGAAACACAGACAGACAAACACCACTACTATAAAAGTGCAATAAAGTTGTAATTGCTTCACCTGTAAGCAACATAATAATATATATGTTAAGTATTTCGTCAATGTCATATCAGGTCAAGGCTAGGCCACAGGGGTCAAGGCTAGGCCACAGCCGTCAAGGCTAAGCCACAGGGGTCAAGGCTAGGCCACAGGGGTCAAGGCTAGGCCACAGCCGTCAAGGCTAGGCCACAGCCGTCAAGGCTAGGCCACAGGGGTCAAGGCTAGGCCACAGCCGTCAAGGCTAGGCCACAGCCGTCAAAGCTAGGCCACAGCCGTCAAGGCTAGGCCACAGCCGTCAAGGCTAGGCCACAGCCGTCAAGGCTAGGCCACAGCCGTCAAAGCTAGGCCACAGCCGTCAAGGCTAGGCCACAGGGGTCAAGGCTAGGCCACAGCCGTCAAGGCTAGGCCACAGCCGTCAAAGCTAGGCCACAGCCGTCAAGGCTAGGCCACAGCCGTCAAGGCTAGGCCACAGCCGTCAATGCTAGGCCACTGAGAATTAGTCCCGATTGCAATGATCCATTTCGGGGTCGCGTGAATCTCACTCTCACGCAGGCAAAGTGGATCGTTGCATAGCAAAGACAGATTATGTACCACGACACAGAGGCCATTCTAAGGTTCCCGTCTGGAATCCTTATTGTATGAAGTCACTGTCTACCTGTCGGTATTTTGATCCAAGTTCGATCTGTTCCAATTTAGGTTCCACATCATGTCTGCCCCCATATAGGTCTGACCTAGTATAGGTCCGTCCCCAGTATAGGGAAGACTGGCGAGGACGTGGGAGCGGCAGATCTCTGACAATCGTCAAACAGTAATCATCAGACAGGTCCAGTCAGATGAGAGTCGAGATAAAAGCCAAAATATAACAGGGTGCAGACTGGCGAACTGGGTGCTGTTGTGACCAAGCGTAAACACCACGGCCAGTGGCGGTGTGTGTGTGTCTACGAACTCCTTCTTTCACCCCCCCTCTTTGGTGGAGGGGGGGGGATTATGAGGGGTGGAGGGGGGTAGAAGAAAGTGGGGGGGGGGGGAAGAGAGAGTGGTTGGATAAAACGAGGGATAAATGCGTCATATGAAGACGGGGATTATGCTCAGAAGAGTATTTAACTAGGGAGGGAAAGGCATTGGGCATTACTGGTTATTCATGCCCGTGCCACCTCTTAGGAGGCTTAATCTTCATCAATCAGGCTGTTGCATATAGGGGAAAAACGAGTCTTTGAAAGGGGTGATTTATGATCATTGGAAAGGGGGAAAGGGGTTGTTTAGAGCGGTGAGGGGTGTGTGTGGGAGAGAAGTATCTACAGTGCATATAATGACGTTTTACTGCTGGTACTCCTGAAGGAGGCGGTGGTGGTGTAGGATATATGGCGTGCCACTGCTGGCGGAGGGCCAGGCGGGAGATCAATAACTACGGGAGTGCCAGGAAGAGAGAGAGAGGCCAGGCAGCAGGGGCCCTCCTGCGCCTCCCCTGACGGGTGCTGACCTTCAATGGTGACGGGCTCATCACCCCGCAGGTGTGCCCAAGCGGACTCCTGCGACTCCACCCGGAAGTAGAAGGGCTGCTCGTGCGGGTACGGCAGGCGGGTGGTGGTGGTGCCCTGTGGCTGACTGCTGCTCATCTCCCGAAGGTGCTGCTGCGTCTGCGTCTGCGCCTGCGCACTAACTTTCAGCGCAGGGGTGTTTTCCGCGTCGTGGAAGACGTAAATCTGCTTCGGGGGTCGCTCTCTGCGCCGCGGTTGGGCGCCTATGGTGGTAAACTGCGCATCAGGGGACCAGCCAAGCTCCGCTGCGCGGGTGTAGGCCCAGGAGCGCTGGCGTGGGGCGTGGCGTGGGGTGTGGCGGAGGGCGTGGCGTTGGGCGCGGGACTCCTGCAGGAGGCGTGGGTCCAATACACGATAAACGCCCCGCTGACGCCGCCGGTGGGACTCTATGCCCGCGCCTGCGCCCGCGTCACTGACACGCCCACGATCTACTGCCATCACAACACATCACTAAGTCACACTATCAACACTAACAGCCACACCATCACATCATCTTGACATAGATATCCAATCTCCCTCGGTTTGATATCTCGCCAAGAAAAAAGTCCTTATTCTTGGGTTATCTCAGAGGGGAGGTATCGGGAGAAAGCGCCAAGCGATTATGACTATATAGCACTGGGAAGGGGTCAGGATTAGGATTTGGGATAAGACGAAGGGAGGGACAGGAATGGTGCCCAACCACTTGGACGGTCGGGGATTGAACGCCGACCTGCATGAAGCGAGACCGTCGCTCTACCGTCCAATCCAACCACTTGAGCTGGACGGAAGATATTTTTGGAATTACCTGAGAATATTCACGGAGTAAACCCAGTAATTTTCACGCAAAGTAAAACCAAGAATATCCACTCAGGGTAAACCCAAGAATATTCACGCAGGGTAAACCTAAGAATATCCACTCAGGGTAAACCCAAGAATATCCACTCAGGGTAAAACCAAGAATATCCACTCAGGGTAAACCCAAGAATATTCACGCAGGGTAAACCTAAGAATATCCGTACTATCCTGTAAACCACGCACACTGCAAGGGGCTCGGAACCAATATAGTGATGATGTGGGCTGTAAACCAACTTGTAGATACAGTATGATTAGTAACTATGATTAGTAACTAGTATGATTAGTAACTAGTATGGTTAGTAACTAGTATGATTAGTAACTAGTATGATTAGTAACTAGTATAATTAGTAACTAGTATTAGTAACTAGCATGGTTAGTAACTAGTATGATTAGTAACTAGTATTAGTAACTAGTATTAGTAACTAGTATGGTTAGTAACTAGTATGATTAGTAACTAGTATTAGTAACTAGTACTGTTAGTAACTAGTACTGTTAGTAACTAGTACTGTTAGTAACTAGTACTTAGTAACTAGCACTGTTAGTAACTAGTACTGTTAGTAACTAGTACTGTTAGTAACTAGTATGATTAGTAACTAGTATGGTTAGTACCTAGTATGGTTAGTAACTAGTACTGTTAGTAACTAGTTAGAACATGCTCCTAATCCATCAGTATAAGAAAGAGATGTTTGTGGACGAAGTCTCTTAAGACTTCTCTTGTTCGAGTTGAAAAACTTGTGTTTTTTATCAAATATATCGTTTCAAATATTACTTTGTTATAGATATATTTTTCACAATTCTCTCTAGTTAACTCTCTTAATTTAGCAGTAATTATTCGGCAGTTATTCTATAACTATTCATGAAAGGTTAGTATTCTATTATTTAATAAATTGTATACCTGTATGAGTCAACTGAATTAGCTAAGATATTAAATTTGTTTCATATAACCCCAATGACTCTATAGTCAGGAGTCCTCTACACTGTATATTGTAGAGTTACAAGCCTCTAGTGGCACTCCTGAAGGCACATCCTCCAACACTGCTCCATGGTCGAGGACCGGGCCGCGAGGAAGCTAAGCCCCGAAATCATCTCAAGACAACTTCAAGATGGCCCTCCCTCCAACACCCTTCGTCGAAGCACCTTCAAGACACACCACCCATCATCCCCCCTAACTACTCGAGAGCCTCAGAGTTCCTCGAGAGTCCCACTCCAGCATTCCTCCCTCCTCCAGGACTCACCTTCGTAGACCTCGGTGTCGTTGGAGCAGGAGGACACGGTGTAGTGCATGTGCTGGGGGTCGCTACAGACGGAGGAGAGGCGGGCACACAGCTCCTGGGCGTCTGGGATCACGCCCGTGTACTCTCCGGTGATAGGACAACCCGAAAGATTTTCCGGATCGAGACCTGGTCGGGGGGGGGACACAGGAAGAAGGGAGTCAGTAATGGATATCGTGCGGTCTTTGAAGAGTGTGGATGGGGAGATATCAAGTTTGAAGAGTTAGGGGGTAGTCCAGTGAGAGAAGATATCAAGTTTGAAGAGTAGAAGCAGTCCAGTGAGAAAAGGTATGTATGTGTTTAGATATATACATATATATATATATATATATATATGTATATGTATATATATATATATATATATATATATATATATATATATATATATATATATATATATATATATATATATATATATATATTAGTATATTTTGGTAGCAGTCTTTCCTGTAGACATATATTATTAAATATGACCGAAAAAGTAAGATTAATAATTCTAACACGAATTTTCTCAATCTTTCGTACATTACGCTTCACTGTTGGAGGTAAATCAAAAATCACTTCTCCAAAATTCATTTTTATTTCTAGTCTGACGCGACACGGGCGCGTTTCGTAAAACTTATTACATTTTCAAAGACTTCACAAATACACAACTGATTAGAACGTATCTCTGATTTTATATCTACATTTGAGTGAGGTGGGAGGGGTGATGTGGCATTAACACAAGACAGAACAAGAGGGGATATTAATAGGGTATTAAAAGTATCAACACAAGACAGAACAGAAACAATGGGTATTGAATAGAAGTGTTTGTAGAAAGCCTATTGGTCCATATTTCTTGATGCTTCTATATTGGAGCGGAGTCTTGAGGTGGGTAGAATATAGTTGTGCAATAATTGGCTGTTGATTGCTGGTGTTGACTTCTTGATGTGTAGTGCCTCGCAAACGTCAAGCCGCCTGCTATCGCTGTATCTATCGATGATTTCTGTGTTGTTTACTAGGATTTCTCTGGCGATGGTTTGGTTATGGGAAGAGATTATATGTTCCTTAATGGAGCCCTGTTGCTTATGCATCGTTAAACGCCTAGAAAGAGATGTTGTTGTCTTGCCTATATACTGGGTTTTTTGGAGCTTACAGTCCCCAAGTGGGCATTTGAAGGCATAGACGACATTAGTCTCTTTTAAAGCGTTCTGTTTTGTGTCTGGAGAGTTTCTCATGAGTAGGCTGGCCGTTTTTCTGGTTTTATAGTAAATCGTCAGTTGTATCCTCTGATTTTTGTCTGTAGGGATAACGTTTCTATTAACAATATCTTTCAGGACCCTTTCCTCCGTTTTATGAGCTGTGGAAAAGAAGTTCCTGTAAAATAGTCTAATAGGGGGTATAGGTGTTGTGTTAGTTGTCTCCAGAGGTTGCATGGCTTTTCACTTTCCTTCTTATGATGTCTTCGATGAAACCATTGGAGAAGCCGTTATTGACTAGGACCTGCCTTACCCTACAGAGTTCTTCGTCGACTTGCTTCCATTCTGAGCTGTGGCTGAGAGCACGGTCGACGTATGCGTTAACAACACTCCTCTTGTACCTGTCAGGGCAGTCGCTGTTGGCATTTAGGCACATTCCTATGTTTGTTTCATAGGAATTGAAACAAACATAGGAATGTGCCTAAATGCCAACAGCGACTGCCCTGACAGGTACAAGAGGAGTGTTGTTAACGCATACGTCGACCGTGCTCTCAGCCACAGCTCAGAATGGAAGCAAGTCGACGAAGAACTCTGTAGGGTAAGGCAGGTCCTAGTCAATAACGGCTTCTCCAATGGTTTCATCGAAGACATCATAAGAAGGAAAGTGAAAAGCCATGCAACCTCTGGAGACAACTAACACAACACCTATACCCCCTATTAGACTATTTTACAGGAACTTCTTTTCCACAGCTCATAAAACGGAGGAAAGGGTCCTGAAAGATATTGTTAATAGAAACGTTATCCCTACAGACAAAAATCAGAGGATACAACTGACGATTTACTATAAAACCAGAAAAACGGCCAGCCTACTCATGAGAAACTCTCCAGACACAAAACAGAACGCTTTAAAAGAGACTAATGTCGTCTATGCCTTCAAATGCCCACTTGGGGACTGTAAGCTCCAAAAAACCCAGTATATAGGCAAGACAACAACATCTCTTTCTAGGCGTTTAACGATGCATAAGCAACAGGGCTCCATTAAGGAACATATAATCTCTTCCCATAACCAAACCATCGCCAGAGAAATCCTAGTAAACAACACAGAAATCATCGATAGATACAGCGATAGCAGGCGGCTTGACGTTTGCGAGGCACTACACATCAAGAAGTCAACACCAGCAATCAACAGCCAATTATTGCACAACTATATTCTACCCACCTCAAGACTCCGCTCCAATATAGAAGCATCAAGAAATATGGACCAATAGGCTTTCTACAAACACTTCTATTCAATACCCATTGTTTCTGTTCTGTCTTGTGTTGATACTTTTAATACCCTATTAATATCCCCTCTTGTTCTGTCTTGTGTTAATGCCACATCACCCCTCCCACCTCACTCAAATGTAGATATAAAATCAGAGATACGTTCTAATCAGTTGTGTATTTGTGAAGTCTTTGAAAATGTAATAAGTTTTACGAAACGCGCCCGTGTCGCGTCAGACTAGAAATAAAAATGAATTTTGGAGAAGTGATTTTTGATTTACCTCCAACAGTGAAGCGTAATGTACGAAAGATTGAGAAAATTCGTGTTAGAATTATTAATCTTACTTTTTCGGTCATATATAATATATAATATATATATATATATATATATATATATATATATATATATATATATATATATATGTCGTACCTAGTAGCCAGAACTCACTTCTCAGCCTACTATTCAAGGCCCGATTTGCCTAATAAGCCAAGTTTCCTGAATTAATATATTTACTATAATTTTTTTCTTATGAAATGATAAAGCAACCTTTTCTCTATGTATGAGGTCAATTTCTTTTTATTGGAGTTAAAATTAACGTAGATATATGACCGAACCTAACCAACCCTACCTAACCTAACCTAACCTATATTTATAGGTTAAGGTTAGGTTAGGTAGCCAAAAAAAGCTAGGTTAGGTTAGGTTAGGTAGGTTAGGTAGACGAATTAAAACATTAATTCATGAATATATAATATATATTATATATATATATATATATATATATATATATTTATTTATTTATTTATAGCCCGTGGTACTTGGAACGTTTCGATCCGAGTAGCAGAATCTATACCAACAGCAACAAAACGGGTTATACTCACGGCCCTGGGTAGACCACTCCTGCCCTCGGAACATATCATCGGAGCACACCCTGGAGGCGTTGTACTGCTGGCTAGGGACCGCCGCTGTGGGAGAAGCGAACGGTAGAGTTAGTACCTTTGGTCTGGTGATGGGGACTTAAGGTCTTTGGTGGGTATCAAGGCCACTACAAGAGCTGACTCACCTATCAGCAAGTATTCATTAGTCAAAAATGAGTATTCAGCAAGTATTCAAAGCCACATTTGAAGAATTAGAGAATGCTGAACGAGTTTTCGGCTGAATTCGCCTTCATCAGAGCAAGATAGAGAATGAGATCTCTCTCTCTGAAGGCGAATAGAGCCGAAAACGCGTTCAACATTATCTAATCCCTGCAAATGTATTTTTTTTAAGAGGACAACCCAAGACACACTCACCCATCTGGTACTCAATAACGTTAACAGCCCTCTTCTTGATCCAGATACAGCTAAACTCCTCGTCTCCACTGTCAAGGGGAGACACACATAAACACGCGGTCACTGATAACTCAAACATGTACAGCTGATACGTACAGCTGATACGTACAGCTGATATGTACAGCTGATATGTACAGCTGATATGTACAGCTGATATGAAAGGTTCTGATTTTCTTTTCATACAATGTTATACTTGGGGTAATAGAACATGGGGGGAACTGATTTATTCCTGGGTATCAGAACACGGGGAATGATTTATTCTTGGGCAACAGAAAATGGGAAACAGATTTATTCTTGGGCAACAGAACACTGATAACAGATTAATTTCACGAGAGGTGTTGTCGGGTGACCAATCCCGTTGGAATAAGATAAACATGAATTGATTGGGCAAACATAATAATGGACACCAAACGATGAGTTGTATCGAAGATATATATATATTATATATATATATATATATAATATATATATATATATATATATATATATATATATATATAATATATATATATATATATATATATATATCTAAGACCTTCATTTTCCCAATATAAGTTTAGCTCAGGTCGATACATACCACTTTGGACAATTAGGCCTAAAAATCGTGTCACACCCAATAGCCAGATTGATCAAATCAGGCTGATTAGGTGACAGGTCCCAAATCAGATAAAAGGGATTCGTTTGATTGGAGACGGGCTCACCATAGCCCGTGCTACTCTGAACGTTTGTTCTGAGTAGCTGAATCTAAAAAAACAAGAACGTTTGATTGGATTGTCTACCGAAGCTGCTCGTTCCTACGGTACATCAGGTACATACTCGAACGGTACACCAAGAAGGGGGTAAGAGGGTACACACCACCCTTTGGAGCCGGTCGGCCGAGCGGACAGCACGCTGGACTTGTGATCCTGTGGTCCCGAGTTCGATCCCGGGCGCCGGCGAGAAACATTGGGCAGAGTTTCTTTCACCCCTATGCCCCTGTTACCTAGCAGTAAAATAGGTACCTGGGTGTTAGTCAGCTGTCACGGGCTGCTTCCTGGGGGTGGAGACCTGGTCTAGGACCGGGCCGCGAGGACACTAAAGCCCCGAAATGATCTCAAGATAACCTCAAGATAACCACTGTGTCTTGGAATGGAGGGCATACTGACGGAGGGTATTATGGTACAGTTGGAGGAGGAGGAGGGAGGTACGTACCACTGAGTCTTGGAGTAGAGGGCGTACCGCTCTCCGTGGGGGGCGTGCTGGGAGAGACACAGTGTCTGGTACTTCTTGTCGGCCCCGTCGTCCTGCACCCACAGCTCGTTGGCGTCGATCTGTCGGAGAAAGGTGTCGATGTTTATACAAGGGATCCGAACCCTCTATTGTGAAGAGAGAACGGAACGGAATTATCAGCAGAAAGCATTGAGCCATTACGACTATGTAGCACTGGGAAGGGGTCAGGATAAGGATTTGGGATGGGACGGTGGAAAGGAAGGAATGGTGCCCAACCACTTGGACGGTCGGGGATTGAACGCCGACCTGCATGACGCGAGACCGTCGCTCTACCGTCCAGCCTAAGTAGTTGTGTTATGGAGAGAAGGGAAGGGAACTATCAGTAGAGAGCGCCAAGCCATTACGACTATATAGCACTGGGAAGGGGTCAGGATAAGGATTTGGGATGGGACGGTGGAAAGGAATGACGCCCAACCACTTGGACGATCGGGGTTATGAAGAGAGAAATTAAGAAAACTTAATGTACATTAATTAATTATTTAATTAATTAATTTAATTTAATTTAATTAATTTAATTTAATTAATTTAATTAATTTAATTAATTAATTAATTAATGTACATTAATTATTATTATTAATTAAAATTAGAAATTAAGAAAACTCGAACGGTGACGGTTTATAGATGACATAACCGAAGCATACAAATATATGAAAGGTTATAATAGAAAAGAATGTTAGTGGAGCTTTAGGTAAATAATGAGAAAGTCTTTGGAGTAGGATGGGGGATCGAACTAGCGTCCTGTGTAACCCCAGACGCACCCCTAAGCACGCAGATTCGATCCCACCGTCATGCTCCTATGATTTTCTCATAGATATCCCGTTATTGTGATTTAATTGAATAGGGATAAATGCTGGTATAGAAACAGAGTTGCTATATTGAGCAGATAAGAGGGGTAACAGAATATGCGTGAAATCGCTGGGTTGTTTTAAGCGTAGGTTAGACATAAACATATGAATAATTTTGGGTGGATATAATTAGAAACTGCCTCGCCTGAGCCTATCGGCCTTCAACAGTTTTAAATATTCTCGTGATCTTATGATACAGCCAATTAACCACCAACTGGTAGTTAAATATTTGAATTCTCAAAAATGTTGTAAAATTATGAACCAAATTTTGGTTCATAATTTTGGTTCATTTGGTTCTGGTTGAATATCCATATAAAATAATAAACAAATTTATACAAGGGGACATTATAAAGTCCCTCTGCACCTTAGAATTTGATTAACTTCTGTTCTGTAGGAGATCAAAGCAATCTGTAAAAATGACAGAAAATAGTATATTTGCTTAGCAAATAGTGTTAGCCAATTTCTGGACGAAGTTTACTCAGAGAAAATGATTGGAAGACGTTGGCCAATTCCTCAGCAGCTGTTTTCTCGAGCGTTCTAAACGTCACTAGACCGTCATACTAAATTGCTCCGAACCTAACCTACCCGAGGACACACGAACAGAAAACGGGACGTCAAGTCCCGTTTGACGCTACTACCAGTTTTTAGTATACTAGTTTTTAGGCTTTAGGGAAATTATACGTCAAAATGCGATGTACTATTATGGCGAGCGGGTTGACGGCCCTCAGTGGGAAGTAAGCTTATCAGAGTGGTCCTCACTCGACCTAGTCATCCTCCTATCATCACCTGACTCCGTAGATGATCCTGGTGCTAGAATAACACAGTTACAGCGCCGCTCCTGTGCCAGGTAAGTCCACTACGGGTTCACCATAGCCCGTGCTACTTGTCCCGTTCCTGTGCCGGATAAGTCCATTACGGGCTCACCATAGCCCGCGCTACTTGCCTCGCTCCTGTGCCAGGTAAGTCCACTACGGGCTCACCATAGCCAGAGCTACTTGCCCCGCTCCTGTGCCGGGTAAGTTCACTACGGGCTCACCATAGCCAGAGCTACTTGCCCCGCTCCTGTGCCAGGTAAGTCCACTACGGGCTCACCATAGCCCGTGCTACTTGCCCCGCTCCTGTGCCGGATAAGTCCATTACGGGCTCACCATAGCCCGTGCTACTTGCCCCGCTCCTGTGCCAGGTAAGTCCACTACGGGCTCACCATAGCCCGTGCTACTTGCCCCGCTCCTGTGCCAGGTAAGTCCACTACGGGCTCACCATAGCCCGTGCTACTTGCCCCGCTCCTGTGCCAGGTAAGTCCACTACGGGCTCACCATAGCCCGTGCTACTTGCCCCGCTCCTGTGCCGGATAAGTCCATTACGGGCTCACCATAGCCCGCGCTACTTGCCTCGCTCCTGTGCCAGGTAAGTCCACTACGGGCTCACCATAGCCAGAGCTACTTGCCCCGCTCCTGTGCCGGGTAAGTTCACTACGGGCTCACCATAGCCAGAGCTACTTGCCCCGCTCCTGTGCCAGGTAAGTCCACTACGGGCTCACCATAGCCCGTGCTACTTGCCCCGCTCCTGTGCCGGATAAGTCCATTACGGGCTCACCATAGCCCGTGCTACTTGCCCCGCTCCTGTGCCAGGTAAGTCCACTACGGGCTCACCATAGCCCGTGCTACTTGCCCCGCTCCTGTGCCAGGTAAGTCCACTACGGGCTCACCATAGCCCGTGCTACTTGGAACTTTTTGTTCCCAGTAGCTGCTGAATCTAAAACAACAACAACAGCTAGAATAACAGCTGTAGTTCATGCCATAGACGCCGCCCAAATGTGCAACGTGTTTGCCCAACTCCAACATCGTATCTCGCTAAATGATGGTGGATGTGGAGAGCATTTAACAATCCTCCATGTTAAATTACCTGACTCACACAATTTACTGATTGCTTTTATCTTTCATTAAACAGAAGTTATGGAAATTCTAAACTGCACGGCGAGTTTATGATGACAATTGTATATATATGTTTATTATTTTCGTCGTAAATTCAAACTTGTGGAAATAAATTCACAAAATTGGCCAGAATTCAAACATCAAAAAAGGCAGTGTGTAATGAAATGGGTTTTATCATAAGATCACAAGATTTTATAATCCCGGAGAGAGAGAGAGAGAGAGAGAGAGAGAGAGAGAGAGAGAGATGAGAGGAGAGGAGAGGGAGAGAGAGAGAGAGAGAGAGAGAGGAGAGAGAGAGAGAGAGAGACAGAGAGAGAGAGAGAGAGAGAGACAGAGACAGAGACAGAGAGTATAACAAGAGGGTCTCACTATAGACTAACCTGGAGGTGCTGCCACGACCCCTGGGCCCATCTGGGGAAGGCGCAGGCGGTGGTGTGGAGGACGGCAGGAGGCGCGGGCGGAGTGACGGGCGTGAGGACCATAGACTCGTACCCGTCCCGGGGGCTCTGAAGGTGGTTGGTGCAGGTGGCGTCAATACTGAAGCTGAGGAAGACTCGCCTCGTCGCCGCATCCACCGAGTACATCTGCAGGAGAGACGATGAGAGAGAGTCAACTATCTGAGTGTGTCTCAGGACTCAAGTGGCACTCCGACACCCCAGTCTATGGCACTCCCTCCAACACCCCAGTCTATGGCACTCCCTCCAACACCCCAGTCTGTGGCACTCCCTCCACCACCCCAGTCTGTGGCAGTCCCTCCAACACCCAACCAGTGGCACCCCCTCCAACACCCAACCAGTGGCACGACCTCCAACACCCAACAAGCTGATTAATTAAACTACAAACTGTTCCCCCAAGTGTTACCGGAACACCACCGCTCCCGTGCCAGATAAGTCCACTACGGGCTCACCATAGCCCGTGCTACTTGGAACTTATTCCGAGTAGCTGAATCTATAACAACAACATGTTACTGGAAGCAGAGAGGAGAAGCAACACATCAGTATGCCTTACCAGCATCCTAAAGTGACAAGGAGTTCAAATATTTCGTAAAACATGAGAGCGTGAGGACGCAAGCATCAGCAGCAAGTTATGGGGTGTGAGGCGAAACCAAGAATTCCGCCGATGCGATGTCATGGGGGTTGGAAGCTGGACACCACAGTCTGGTCAGACACAAACGCTTGGATGAGGGAGGGGGGGATGGGGGGGGGGGACTGGAAGGCTACAAACAGCGAAAAACAAAACAGAGAAACAGCAACAGGAGGGGGGGGGGGGGAATAGGAATTATCAGGGGAAAGCGCTAAGCCATTAAGATTATATAACACTTGGAAGGGGGGTCAGGATAAGGGATGGGATAGGGGGGGGGGGAGAGGAATACGATAACAAGAGAAAATGAGAAGATGGACGTTAAAAGGGACAATGAATAAGAAAAACAAAACAAGGGCAACTAAACAGGAAGGGCAGAGAGCAGCGTGAGAAGAGACAATGCAATAAGAGAATGTACACAATAACTGGAGAGACAAAAAGATGGAAACACAAATAACTGAGAAAGAAAACTAAGGAGAAACTAAGAAAACGCGAATGGGCGCCACAGTGAAGAGAGAGAGAGAGAGAGAGAGAGAGAGAGAGAGAGAGAGAGAGAGAGAGAGAGAGAGAGAGAGAGAGAGAGAGAGAGAGAGAGAGAGAGAGAGAGAGAGAGAGAGAGAGAGAGAGAGAGAGAGAGAGAGAGAGAGAGAGAGAGAGAGAGAGAGAGAGAGAGAGAGAGAGAGAGAGAGAGAGAGAGAGAGAGATAGAGAGAGAGAGAGAGAGAGAGAGAGAGAGAGAGAGAGAGAGAGAGAGAGAGAGAGAGAGAGAGAGAGAGAGAGAGAGAGAGAGAGAGAGAGAGACGTAAGGAGATACTAGCAATACTTTTATTACTATTATCATTATTATTTCCAACCACAGACTTGGCCACACATTTAAAACACAAATCAGCACATATACATTTTCTTCTGACCTCCATGGACAGGGCTGGAGATCGGTTAAACACATAGTTCAGTGATTTATTGAACAATACACCACCGGAGGTGATTGTAGAACATTTAAAATGCTAATCTAACCGACAAACATAGAGAGACAGTACTCACGGCACAGCGGTAGCGAGGCTGGTTGTCGGTGGTGACGGCGGGGTCCCACAGGGCCAGGTACTTGTGGCCATCATGGCCCTCCCAGTTCCCCAGGCACCGTAGTCCCATGTCCAGCTCCCCGAAGGAACACCGGCGGAACCTGTCATCAACGAACAGGAACATCGGGTCATTTCTGCATCCTCTCTTCAATAAAATATGTCCTAAATAGTAGTAGGCATCTATCAGTCTCAGGAGACTATGGAGTTGCGCTCTGGTTATCGGTCTGGAGTGGTCTTTCCAGGGCGCAAAGCCAGGATAAGTTAATAAGGGGAAGCTGTCACCCATGCAGCAGGTCCGTTCCCCCCTCTCCACGACGCCGAAAGTCTCCAATGGAAAGGCAAACGCCAATACGATTGGTTCCAGCGCCGTCGCAGGAACTGTCAGAACGAGGTTGAAGGCAACAACGAACTGCCCCTAGAGGCTCCAGCTCCGGAATTTACCTCGAAGTTGGTAAAAGAAGACACAGGTACTCCAAACCCGGAGACCGCCGTGGTCGGGGCCGGAGAGGAACCACCCCATCAAGGACAAGAACGACCCCAGCCTCCTGAAGCAGAGCCTGGGGCCGCACGAGCCCCAGGAGGTGGACGTCCCGGTCCAGCACCTACGGGTTACCTTACCTTCCAGACAAGTTTTCCTAAATACTTGTATGATATTGTCATAATGACTTGGTGCTGTCTCCTCATAATTTTTTCTCTTAGGCAAATAATTTACTGTAAATCTGTGTAAACTAACCCAGCTATAAATTAACAAATATTTATGAATAAAATATTTCACTCTCAGTTTCAATTTATTCCCTTGCAAAACGCATAAGGACTTATCTGCACATGTTTTTATCCTGTAATTAATCGCAGTTTTATGCTAACTTCATAACATAGAAAACTATACAAATCATTAACACTATAGCCGGTGGCTGAGCGGACAGAACACTGGACGCGTGATCCTGTAGTCCCGGGTTCGATCCCGGGCGCCGGCGAGAAACGATGGTCAGAGTTTCTTTCACCCTGATGCCCTTGTTACCAAGCAGTAAATAGGTACCTGGGAGCTAGTCATCTGTCACGGGCTGCTTCCTGGGGGTGGAGGCCTGGTCGAGGACCGGGCCGCGAGGACACTAAAAGCCCCGAAATCATCTTAAGATAACCTCAAGATATAACTTGCTTCTCACAGCACAACTCCCTCTCCATCTAACACAATCACAGAGTTGGCGTTCGATCCCCGAAGTTCCAAGTGGTTTGGGCCACCGTCCCCACCCTTCCCTTTTGTCCCCATACCCACTACTCCTTCACCCCCCTTACACGCCTTCCAATTGCAATATGCTCTACAATGTGCGTCTCAAGTACGATATACTAAAGAGGCCCGAATCCCTGTTGGGAGGCATGACCTGCAATGTGGATGTCAACATGCAATTAATTCGTCTTTATCAGCAGGTGCTCCGCTCACATAAGCAACATCAAATTTTCTCTTGCAACACTGAATGTGAATGTTGCTGTGATGTGCTGGCTGGCCGTCGCTGACACCCACAGCAAAGATGCCCCAGCAAAGACACCCCAGCAAAGACACCCACAGCAAACACACCCAGAGCAAAGACACCCCCAGCAAAGACACCCACAGCAAAGACACCCACAGCAAAGACACCCCCAGCAAAGACACCCACAGCAAAGACACCCCAGCAAAGACACCCACAGCAAAGACACCCCAGCAAAGACACCCCAGCAAAGACACCCCAGCAAAGACACCCACAGCAAAGACACCCCAGCAAAGACACCCCACAGCAAACACACCCACAGCAAAGACACCCACAGCAAAGACACCCCACAGCAAAGACACCCACAGCAAACACACTCACAGCAAAGACACCCCAGCAAAGACACCACAGCAAAAACACCCACAGCAAAGACTCCCCCTCCCCCCCCCCCACAGCAAAACGCCGACCTGCATGAAGCGAGACCGTCACTCTACCGTCCTGCCCAAGTGATTGACCCGGGGGTTAGGCGGCTGTCGTGGGTGGCATCTGGTGGAAGGTTCAGTTCTTGGCCTATGGGCACCTTGATAACACTAACAGACCTTAATTAATAATATACTAGAACCTTGTAAGCAAAGCCATATATAAATTATAAAATATAGTCAATTGAATGGGATCGAACTCTCGTTCAAATTATATATATATATATATATATATATATATATATATAATATATATATATATATATATATATATATATATATATATATATACATATATATATCGTACCTAGTAGCCAGAACGCACTTCTCAGCCTACTACACAATTAAGGCCCGATTTGCCTAATAATCCAAGTTTTCATGAATTAATTGTTTTTCGACTACCTAACCTACCTAACCTAACCTAACCTAACTTTTTCGGCTACCTAACTCAACCTAACCTATAAAGATAGGTTAGGTTAGGTTAGGTAAGGTTGGTTAGGTTCGGTCATATATCTACATTAATTTTAACTCCAATAAAAAAAATTGACCTCATACATATGAATGGGTAGCTTTATCATTTCATAAGAAAAAATTAATATATATATATATATATATATATATATATATATATATATATATATATATATATATATATATATATATATATATATATGGTAAGTCTGGTGGTAAGGTTATATTATATATATATATATATATATATATATATATATATATATATATATATATATATATGTTCGTACCTAGTAGCCAGAACTCACTTTTTGGCCTACTATTCAAGGCCCGATTTGCCTAATAAGCCAGTTTTTCCTGAATTAATATATTTTTTTCTAATTTTTTTCTTATGAAATGATAAAGCTACCCATTTCATTATGTATGAGGTCAATTTTTTTTAATTGGAGTTAAAATAACGTAGATATATGACCGAACCTAACCAACCCTACCTAACCTAACCTAACCTATCTTCATAGGTTAGGTTTGGTTAGGTAGCCGAAAAAGTTAGGTTAGGTTAGGTTAGGTAGGTTAGGTAGTCGAAAAACAATTAATTCATGAAAACTTGGCTTATTAGGCAAATCGGGCCTTGCATAGTAGGCTGAGAAGTGCGTTCTGGCTACTAGGTACGACATATATATATATATATATATATATATATATATGGTAAGTATGGTGGTATCTAAAGTCAGTTGGTAAGTCTAGCCCCCAGGCCTGGGGGCCAGACTTACCAACTGGCACCAATTGTTTGATGAAGATTAAACCCCCCTAAGAGGCTGGCACGGGCATGAATAGCCCCGTAAGCATGATGTAACTGCCACCACGACCCTTATATATCCTCATACCCGCGTTTGTCTCACCTGAGTTGGAGCTCTGAGCCCTTGGGGCAGTTGGAGAGCTCCGAGGTGGGCTCCGGGCACTCTACGGCGCTCTCCGTTCCGTCGTTGACGTCGTAGGTGAGACGGAAGCGGCCGTTGATGGGACAGAAGACTCGGTCAATCAGCCCGTCTTGTGTGAAGCTCCGCGACTCTAGGAGGGGGAAGGGAAGGGAGAGAGGGATAAGGGACGGGAGGTGGGGGTAGGAGGCGGAGGAGAGAGGGGGCAGGAGGGAGAAGAGGGAAATTGGGGAGAGGGGAAAGAGAGGCAGGAGTAGACAAAAAGATGGATGATAGGGAAGTAGGAAAACAAAGAGATGGGGGGAAAGACGAGGAAAAAAATTGTAAAATTCAACAAAAACTTGACAAAATATGTAAATAAAATCTTTGAATATTAGCAGAAATTTAACTCAATATACAATGTTAAATACAAATATGATAACACAAAATACGAGTCTCTGAATTAAGCTTGAAAAAGTCATGAGGTGGGGCCAGGAGCTAGAGCTCAACCAGACAAGCATATTACATTTATAATATAATTTACAAATATCTAGAAAATATATAATGTTCAGAGGTATAGCACAATACTGATTCCAAAACCGAGACTAGGACTGAAGTACGAGGAAAGTCACAAGAAATGAAAAGGAGACATGATCGTGACATGTAAGATCCTGAAGGACAATAACAAATGTGGATAAGAACGAAATGTTGAATAAGTGCAGCAGCAGGTCATAGATAGAAGATGACATAAATATAAGCCATATGAACATACGAAGACATTTCTTTACACTAAGAAGTAGTAAAGGAATGAAAGGACAGAATAAGGTAGTCGAGGCTGTTAGTACACATTGTTTCAACCGTAGGTAGGATAGACAAATAGAGCCTGGAACTAGACGATTCACAGTTGAAAAGGTGGTGTTCAAGGGATTACACTCACTTCTGCTGCACGCAAAACTAGACGAGTAAAACGCACGCACACGCACACACACACACACAGACACACACACACACACACACACACACACACAAACACACACACACACACACACACACACACACACACACACACACACACACACACACACACACACACACAAGGTCTGAATGCACTTGGGGAAGGCCATTCAAGGAAAACATTAAGCAACAAAGAAGGTAATTAAAGGCCTCCCGGCTCATTCATACCAGATTTCTCTTCGCGCCAAAATGACGTCACGAATGTAAATAAACAAACCCAGGCCACGTGCATGACATCAGGGTGCTGAATGGACGTGTTCTCAGCCCTCCACCTCACACCAACACGTAACCCCACTTCCAACTTACATTTCCAGTCATTAATCCCTCAAATACGTCACAATCAACAAACTAATCACAACACCAGGGCTTGAGAAGCGAGAAGACATGATGCTCTTTCTTGAAAGATGTTTCCACTTACTGTAGAGCATGATCTCGCTGGCTCGCCTAGCCTTGATGGTGTGTAGGGTTGGGCAGGTCTGGTGGGCTGCTCCCTCTGTCGAGTAGCACTTGTTAAGGCCTTCGGTGTAGATCTGTCGGAGGCGGAGAGGGACAGTGGTTAGCTCAAGATAACCTCAAGATAACCTCAAGCTCTGGGTGCTGGGGGAAGGGAGGACTAAAGAGAAGGGGTAAAGTGTGATGAAGAAGGTTTTGGGGGATACAATGAGTCATAAAGAGAGAGGGGTATGGAGGGTACAATGTGTGATGAAATGAGGTTCGGAATGTATAATGAGTGAATAAGTAAACGTAATTAAAATATATTATTTGTCGATTCCAGGAGGCAGTGAAACAGGTGGAACTGATAACAGGCTTGAAAATTCACTTACCCACCCACTCACACACTTACTCACTCACTCACTCACCTCACTCACTCACTCACTCACTCACTCACTCACTCACTCACTCACTCACTCACTCACTCACCTGTATGACGTTGCGTGAGTGAAGGGAGATGTGGAAACACCTGAAGCAATCCTCGCCGCCTGTGTGGTCGCGGAGGATGACATTGTTGTTGATCTTCCTGTGGCACACTCCCCATACTGGTATGGCGTCCGGCAGGATGGTCACCTGTGGGGAGGTGGAGTTGGGGTCAGTGGCTGGTGGGGGAGGTGGCTGGTGGGGGAGGTGGCTGGGGGAGGTGGAGGTGGGGGGAGGTGGCTGGTGGGGAGGTGGCTGGTGGGGGAGGTGGCTGGTGGGGAGGTGGCTGGTGGGGGAGGTGGCTGGTGGGGGAGGTGGCTGGTGGGGAGTTGGCTGGTGGGGGAGGTGGGGAGGTGGGGAGGTGGCTGGTGGGGGAGGTGGGGGAGGTGGGGGAGGGTGGCTGGTGGGGGAGGGTGGGGAGGTTGGCTGGTGGGGTGGGGGGAGGATGAGGGAGGTTGGCGGGTGGTGAGGTGGGGGTGGGGAGGTGGGGGGGGGAGGGGTGGGGGGGGTGGTGGGGGAAGGGCTGTGGGGGAGGGTGGGGGGTGGGGGAGGGGCTGGTGGGGTTGGGGGGGTGAGGTGTGGGGTGGGGGAGGTGGGTGGTGGGATAGTTGGGAGATATAAGGTTGAGGGGGGAGGTGGATGGTAGAGGAGATTGATAAGGTTGAGATGGCCGGAGGTGGATGGTAGGGGATATGGGGAGAGGTTAATGGTAGGGAACGTTGGGGCGGTTAATGGTAGGGGAAGTGGGGGAAGGTGGAGCCAGTGTATGACAAGGTTTTTAATTCCAATTTTCAGAGACAGAAATTCTGTAAATAGGCTGATCAAGACTCCCCCCCTAGGCCTACTACTGACCTTCCCCCAGAATGCGACCCCCAACAGTCGCCAAACTCCCGAGTACGTATTATCTACTAAGGGGTGAACAAAGGCATCAGGCAAAAGGGAAGCGTGCCCAACCGTTTGCGCCACAACATACCTGGGAGTACTGGTGGACGGAGCCCTCGGAGATGCTGGAGATGCTGGACTGAGTGGCGAAGATGCCCTGGTACTCCACTGGAAAATAGCACACGCCCGCCGCTGTAAATGGACCAAAAAACAGACACATTAACCTCGAGGGTTCGAGCACACACAAGGAAGAGGAGGAGGAGGAGGGACGAGGAAGAGGAGGAGGGACGAGGAAGAGGAGGAGGGACGAGGAAGAGGAGGAGGGACGAGGAAGAGGAGGAGGAGCGGTGAATCAAAGCGGCGCCGGGGAAATAGGTAGAGATGATGGTGATGTTGGCATGAGCACCTGTAATTTCCGAGTGGAGGTGACCGATGGTGGTCCTCCTCCTCCTCTCCCTACCCCCCCCCCCCATTCCTGCCCCCCTACCCTCAACCCCTCACACTCTGATGATGGGTGAGATGACCGGGATGTGGCGGGAAGGGGGTAAGAGAGGGCAGGTTTGCTGGGTATGAGGATAGAGAGAGAGAGAGAGAAGAGAGAGAGAGAGAGAGAGAGAGAGGAGAGAGAGAGAGAGAGAGAGAGAGAGAGAGAGAGAGAGAGAGAGAGAGAGAGAGAGAGAGAGAGAGAGTAACACAACCATGACAGGCTTCCTTAGATAACCCAGTTCTGCTTTCATGTAGTCTACAAGCAGCAGTCACATCAGACAACCGCCTTAACAGTAGACATTAATGGTAGACTTACCACTCTACGGGTTGTTAAGACACTAACCCCTTAAGTGGTTATTAACAGCTGTTCCTGATATTGGAGACCATCAATATTACTCTCATTGATGCGTAGAGTCGCGGTGCCAGCTACAAGTGCCTGCAGGTGACGACGGAATTTTAACCGAGTGCCAACAGCGACTGGCACCTGGGTCACAGGTGCTTACAGGTGTTGGTAGCTTCTTACAGAGGCTCTACAGCCTCCACCTGCGCTGCAGCAGCTGGCATTTGGAGACTAGAGGTGTCTATTTTATCTCCTGGCTAGTCTATCACATATGTCTTGCGCCACACTGCCTTCTCTTCTCTTCTCTTCTCTTCTCGTTCTTGTAGGCTTACGTAGTCTCTCCGGCTTGGCGCCTTCTGTTGCTAATTACTTCTTAATTCCTATCTCTTCCTCTTATTTTGTTAATTTTTGTTTCGTATTCACTCTTCACCACTTTATTGTATTTTTGTTTTTGTTCATGCATTCCCTTTTTCCTTATTTCAACCCTCTCCCCCCCCCTCCCTCGTTCTTCCCAGCTGGTCAACACCACCACCTTCCTTACAGCAGGTGGTGACGGCCTAACCAAAGCCAGGTGGTGACGGTCTAACCAAAGCCAGGTGGTGACGGTCTAACCAAAGGCAGGATACAGGTATCACTGTTGACGTGTCACTATGCTCACTAAGGGGCGGTTTGTTGACATCTGGCCCAATGTCCTCCCACCCTCCCCCTCCTCCTTCTTCCCCCCACTCCGGACACTCAAACAGGCACATATAGTACATATATACACACACATATATCCCCCCCCCACCTCCCGGTGTATGGGATATATATATACCAAACTAACCCACCACAACCACCCACTTACTACAACCAACCACAACCCTCCCTCCATGTAATACAATCACCCACTCAGTACAACCAACCCCCATCTTACAGGAGTTATATATATTTTTGTAGACTCTGAATTCGACATTTTTGGAAGTGGTCAGATCCCAGAGAGAGAGAGAGAGAGAGAGAGAGAGAGAGAGAGAGAGAGAGAGAGAGAGAGAGAGAGAGAGAGAGAGAGAAGAGAGAGAGGACAATTGAAATATCAAGCGAGGGGGTTCTTGTGGGAGGTGCCGATGGTGGGGGGTGGGCTGTGATAGCGAGGTTTGTACAAAGGCTCACAACTGTTGTGGAATTTCCGGTTTTGTGAATTATCGCTCAGGTGTTATATTAGCTGCGTTATCATGCTGTGGAGGAAGGTTGGGATGAGAGACACGAGAGATAGAGAAGAGAGGAGAGAGAGAGAGAGATAGAGAAGAGATAGAGAGAGAGAGAGAGAGAGAGAGAGAGAGAGAGAGAGAGAGAGAGAGAGAGAGGGTATACACATGACTGACCAACAAGGAGTCATATATCACACTGTACACACGGAGAGACATCAACACAGGATATCCTACTATCCTGCAAGTTAATATCCTTCGCCAGGCCCAATGACCACACGCACGCACGCACAATACACACACATTGGTATTCCTGTGCACACACACACCACACGTACACACACACACATGCAAAATAGGCCCCTCCTCTCTCTCGAGACACCCACAAGGACGTTAGACGACCCTTACTGGATGTAACTACAGTAAGCCGGTCGGCCGAGCGGACAGCACGCTGGATTTGTGATCCTGTGGTCCTGGGTTCGACCCTAGGCGCCGGCGAGAAACAATGGGCAGAGTTTCTTTCACCCTATGCCCCTGTTATCTAGCAGTAAAATAGGTACCTGGGTGTGTCAGCTGTCACGGGCTGCTTCCTGGGGGTGGAGGCCTGGTCGAGGACCGGGCCGCGGGGACACTAAAGCCCCGAAATCATCTCAAGATAACCTCAAGATAACCTCAAGAAGCCAGTAGAAGCAACTAGGAAGACACCTGAGGCAACGTCTGGCCAGATTCTCAAACGCGGAATTAACAATATACAAAGGATTTGGGAGTCACTCTCCTGAAAGGCTGGTCCTGGAGCTGAAGCTTGGTCCTTCAAACTCTGCTAGGTAAGTGCTCTCACACTCATAAATACACACACACACAGGGCGCTGGTGGCTGAGTGGACTGCACGCTGGATATGTAGTCCTGTGGACTGGTGTTAGATTCTTGACACCGTCGGAAACAGATGGGGCAGAGTTTCTTTCACCCTGATGCCCCTGTTACCTAGCAGTAAATAGGTACCTGGGAGATAGACAGCTGTTACGGGCTGCATCCTGTGTGTATGTGTGTGCGTGGGAGAGAGAAACATATAGCAGATATGATAGCACAAAAGTATATCGGGTAATCAGTATATTAAACAAGCGACGGGTAGAAAGGCGGGGTCCAAGAGCTAACAGCTCAATCCTGCAGGCGCATATAGTAAATACACTCATATACACACACATACACACTCATACAACCATCAATGCCAAAGGTAAACCATTGTATACGCATACTTCTCTTCTACAAACACTGTACAAGTGGCTACCACCAACACCACCATCACCATCACCTCAGCGTGTCGGCCGACGACGCTGGTCCTCTGGGAAACGCCTGGATGTCGATGCTTTATCAATTATTACTGAGCCGATGGTGGTCGATTGTTTCTGCCTCTGGCGGGTCGACTAGACCACCACGGGGGTCGAGTGGACCACAGGGTGGGACAAGTGGACCACAGGGTGGGCCAAGTGGACCACAGGGTGGGCCAAGTGGACCACAGGGTGGGCCAAGTGGACCACAGGGTGGGCCAAGTGGACCACAGGGTGGACCAAAATAATTTCCATTTTAAATATTGTTATCATGTCTTCTCTGTTTTTCTCTCACTCGTTCGTTGTAGTTAAGTGCCGTCAGCTCTGCCACAAGCCTCGTCCCATATCTCTAGACTTTTAAAATTCCATCTTTCTTAAGATGTGTATTCCTGGCCAGCGCTGCATGCTCGATGGTTTGTCTTATGTTGGTTGTGTACGTTGTTTTGAAGGCCTTCTTGCGTACGCCTAAAGATGATTAATGTTTTCCTTTGGAGTTGTGTTTGTGGTCATTCCTTGTTATTTTGTTGCTCTGATTACGATCGCTGTCGCGATGTTAAACTACTTTAACCATCTTGAAGTTATCACCATAGGGCCATCTCTCTCATGCTTCCATTCACATTACTTTGCACTAATAATGGTTTAGGTCTAGCAACCATCTTTCCGCTCATCACTGAAGCGCGTCAAATGTCTCCCTGTAAACGTCAGAATTCTGTTCAAATTTATCTCCTTTAATTGTATCATCAGTGAATGATCCCATTTTAATGCATTTGTGTTTACACCTTCTATTTTACCAGCTCTTTGTTTACATTGTTCGCCATAATGACAATGTGGGAAAAGCGCGGGAAACAATTACAGGAAATAATGGAGTATAACCGACCTAAAGGAGCACCACATAGGTTATTCTAGCATAGTTATCCGTCTATAGATTACCCAGTCTTCCCACACCACAGCTAAACCACCTTTGCCTGGGCTAACCAACAACAAACAGCTCGTACAGCACGCTAACAACGGGAATACAAGGGGCCAAAGACTGGTTAGAGGTTAATGTATTCGTCCTCACCCGCCCAGATTAGTGTCATGTGCACAGGATACGAACGCGGCCTCCGTAACAGGGATATGGCACCACACCCCCAGCCCTCCGCCTCTGAATGCGTTTCCTTGGCGTGGACTTAGGGTACGTTGACACTCCATCACCACCACTCCGCTATGCACCGAAAGTTTGTGCTCAATGGTGGTGATTTTTTTTTGACTCAACTACAAGTTTGTTCGAGATAAATGATGCATTTAAATGGAGGTGTTCGTTTAAAATACAAGTGACAATGAATGCATGGGAAGTTATATTTGCAGGTGTTGAGAGTCGGCGGCATGGTTGGGGGCGCTAATGGCTGGCAGGCAGGTGTGTGTGTGTGTGTGTGTGTGTGTGTGTGTGTGTGTGTGTGTGTGTGTGTGTGTGTGTGGTGTGTGTGTGTGTGTGTGTGTTCACCTAGTTGTGCTTGCGGGGGTTGAGCTCTAGCTCTTTTGGCCCGCCTCTCAACTGTCAATCAACTGATTTTTTTCCACACACACACACACACACCTATTTACAGAGGTCAGGCACTGATTTCCTCCTTTTCCATCCATGAAATTCTCTCTCATATTCCCTTTCTCTCTCCTCCCTCTTCCACTTCTTTGTTCACCGTGTTTCTTCCTCCTCCCAACCATTCGTTCCTAGAATCCCTCCTTCCACATTCTACTGTACGTGATTCACTCGTGATTGGAGTCACTCGTTATTGGAGTCACTCGATATTGGATTCACTCGTTATTGGAGTCACTCACTATTGGAATCACTCGATATTGGAGTCACTCGATATTGGAGTCACT